AGTTCCCGGGTCCCTGGCAGGGGGTCGGGGGTAGCAAAGGGACTGCCCTGGGGTCCACTCCGACCCCGCGCTCCTAACGCGCTCCCCACCCCTGGGGCCCTCGGCGGCTGCCCGCCCGCACTCACCCCGCGGCTAAGAGTGTGGGCACTGTGCGCTCTGCCCTCGCTCTTCCGGCGCCTCTTTACTCCCCGCATGGCACCTTCCCTGGCCCCGAGGGTGCCTCGTGTCTTGGGGGAAGGGGGGGTTGGTGAAGCGGGGTGGAGTGAGCTTGAGGGAGGAGGCGAAGAAATTACCATGTCAATTGCCAGGGGATGCAAGTTGCTGCCTGTGCCTTGTTTCTGTTACTTTAACTACCTGGATGTGCTGCTTTTCTTGTTACAACCGCAGTAATATTCAAAGGCATGAATATAAGATTTTCAAGCTAATTGGTTGTAAGGTTGTTGAGATTTTTTAATTTAACGATGACAAAAGACAACTGATTCACTCTTTTAAAAAAGTTACTTTACATATGTGTATAACATATTTAAAGCAATATTTCCAATTTTAAAAATAGCAAAATGAAAATATAAATAAGAGAACAGCTGTGTTTTACAGAAACAGACCCAGTGTGTATATGTGATTTAAAACCACTGTAATTATATTAATTGGTTCATTTTAAAGTGTATTTTAGGTATTTCTTAAATCGGGCTCAGAATTTAGGGGTTAGGAACCCCTGAGTTTTAATTTGGCTTTTTGTCATTATCAATTTCATGGAAATTACTAAATGGGGTTGGTTAGAAAAGTGGTTCCTTTTTCTTCCAGGCTGGCAGCATTTTTAGATCTGGCAAAGGACAGATTTTTTTTTTTAAGCCAAGAAGTAATAAAATTTTCATTCATTTTCTGGTGATGGAATATCTAGTCAGGTAGCTTTCCTTTAGTATTTCTCTCTTTGAGACAAGCTTCCTTTTTGTGTCTTTTTGCATTTGTTTTCTTCCAAAATTTCTCGTAAGTATAAACAAAGTTATAGACGCCATGGTTTATCCTTATCAAAATCAACCCCAGGCTCATGATACTAAATTTCACACTGATTAACCCTGGTTTTCAACTTTGCTTTTAGTCATTTAACCTAACTCTTGAGACCCAAAAGTTTTTACAGTTTCATCCTTATGAGAACTAAATGTACACTTTTTAGTTAACATTTTGAACCAAAATAAAATGAATTAAACTGTCTGAAGAAAACTGCATTCGTACAGTATGTGTTGTTGTGTAAATGAGGACAATGTGGATGACAAACAGATCTGCAGACTCTGAAGCAAAGAAAATAGTCTTTAGAAAAACTGATCATCCCCTTTTCAAGGGAAGGATGATAAATGCCAGTAATTATGCAAAGAATGACTCCTGCCTCTCTTCTCTTTGCTTTGATTTTGTGGCTAGGACTGCATCTATATCTTTTGATCGTCATAGTGAAAATAAAGTAATTCAACATTCCGATGACTTTGCTTAGTAAATTAGCAATTTGAAAATGCTTTAATCACCTAATTAATCCAAGTAAATGCCTTCGATAAATCCGCTTTTACTATTACATTTTTTGTGCCTCCAGAGAAACACTTGTATAAAATACAAACAGCTAAGGCAAGCTCAAAAACGATTGCTAGCCAAATTCTTTGGGTATATGTGTTGTAACAGAGTTGATATTAAGTGACCTTTGAGTCTTAAATTATATATCAGATACCGGTTATGAATTGCTCATTGGCTTCTTCTTTAATGAGTTCCTGTATGTTTGCTTTGCCCTGTTCATTCTCCAGAAGCATATTTCATTTCTTTCTGCCTTATTGAATGTACCTTTGCCTAAATTATTTTCATTTTAACTCTTAACAAAGAATAAGACCTTAATCCATAGCTCACTTGACAATCATCTTTGCCCTTTAAGTTGAGTCTTATTTGAGGTCTTTGGTAAGAATCTAGCATGATTAAACATCTAAAATTGGACAGAGTACTTCATCAGGCATGCTTCTAAGATAACGATCAGGTTTCTCAAAACCAGAAGGAGGGTGTGTGCCATTTGAATTTTAAAAAAAAGAAAAAGAAAGAAACAAAATCAGCAAATCCATTTTGTTGAGGTCAAAACTAAGCCAAAAGAATTACAACTGAAAGCCTTCGTAAGACCAAATTGTGCTACAAAATATGTAAAAATAAAATTCAAATAATGTATCTGTATAATGCATTTGTCACCACTACAAATCCTTTGCTGCTACTAACCAAACATCATCACGTTTTATCTTACCCTATTTGTTCCTGTGCTATTGAGAATTTTTCACTGATATTTAAATAAGAGAGTGCCCTGGAGTTTCCCACTATCCCCAAGGAATTGTGTCACCCTCCATTTGGTTTTGAAAGTTCTGTTGAAATGTCTGTGACACTGATATGCAGATCTGAATATCCCATGTAGACACATGGAAAGGGAACACCAATGACTAGTTCACATTCAAGACAGTGGGATTGAAACAAAACATGAGTTTTTGTTTTTAACAGTTTAATTCTATCAGCATCTCCCATTCTGATCCTTACTCCATCAAAACATTTTATGGGTTAGCTTTCCCATCTTGAGAAATTTTTTCTTGATAATTATTTTGATATTTTTTGTCCTTTGAGCCTGAACATAATGCATAGCCTTCTCTCTTTCCTATGATAACTGAGCATTGACTTACGGGAGGAGGGGAGATGATGGGACAGCTCTATTGCCAATTTCCTCTTCTGGCTCTAAGAAAAGCATGAACTAAGTTTCTTTACTTTGGTTGATTGGGATTAGTGAGCAACATCATTGATTCAAATTTGCAGAATGTCAGTTACTTTAATTGGTCTC